TGATTTGATTCTTAGTTGTACTGTTTTTGATTTGATTCATAGTTGTACTGTTTTTGATTTGATTCATAGTTGTACTGTTTTTATTTTACACTAGTGATATAATTTAATTTAGATGTATTGTGTTTAATTTGTTTTACTTGGAAACTAAGGACTTTATTCAAATGTCTACCGTATTTATTTATGAGCTGAAAATATATAAGTACAATGTAATTTTTTTTTTAAAAGTCAATTTGTTAGGTTCAATACAAGTTCGTATTTTATCTTTCCGCAATTGTGTGTGTGTGTGATATTTTCCCTTTCTATCTTATTGCAACTTTGAATGAAACTGTTTCATAAAATATTGATTACTGATATTACATAAATTATATGTTGCATTTCATGTCAATGAAAAGAAATTTTTCTTTATTTAACATGTAAATAATTGTGTCATCTTTTTTTGTTGAGAATGTAGATATTGATTGCTCTCTCTCTCTCTCTCTCTCTCTCTCTCTCTCTAATGGATGGATTCGATTTTTCTTCTTCTTTTTATTAAAAAGCGAGTCTAATAAAAGGACCCTCATGGCCCCTAAGTAAAGCATTACGTCACAGATTGCCTTTTTTTTTCTTCTCCTAAAACCCATTACCCCCTAGGAGAGATGTTTATATAACAAGATACGGAAATGGAACTAAAGATTAATTTATAGATTAACAATGAAGTCAGTAAGTTGTAGTTGAACATAGGCCTGCGTCAGCACGACCGGTTTGACAGGTTTATGTTACAGGTTAAATAAGTGCAATAAATGACGTCAGCTGATGTAACTTGAAAATTTAACTATTTAATACGACAGCGTTGTACAATGTATAAATAACACGCACATATATTTATAACACACCAGGATATGATTTGGCGATAAGCAAAACTATGAACATTATAAAAACGGGTTTTAGTTTTCACAGACGATTATCGGGAGTTTATAAATCACGTGTTAGTAAAATGGTGGGTGGTTGGTGTGGGTGGGGTGGGGGGAGGTCCACGGTAGAACCATTGATAGAATGGAGGTAAACAGTACAGGCGTTAATAAACCTAAGGTTCGTGGTATGGCCATTAACTGTACTCGTGATGTGGTTCAAGAGTCCAACGTGAAAGACGTCGAGTGCTCACGTGATCAACCCCCCCCCCCATGTTTTGTCCATGAAGTATTTCATAACTTTGACCCTATCGTGTTTGAACTGTGGTGACACTGATAAGGTGCGGGGTATGGCCATTAACTGGACTCGTGATGTGGTTCAAGAGTCCAACGTGAAAGACGGCGAGTGCTCACGTGATCAACCCCCCCCCCCCCATGTTTTGTCCATGAAGTATTTCATAACTTTGACCCTATCGTGTTTGAACTGTGGTGACACTGACGGCTCGAAGCTTTGCTTACAATACCTTGTCCTTGAGGACTTGAATAGATCCGACGTAACGTTTAAGATTGGAATAAACGACTTCAAGGTCGTGCCTGTATTAAAAATTGTTAGCACCGGCATGCACAGCTGTCACTCCAATGGATAAGCCCAAAATGTGTTTTTTTTTATTAGAGCTGACAAAAGCTATTTTACAAGCTATACATTTGCTGGGTCTAAAATATTTGTTTGGTAGTTCTTATCTTTTAAGATAGGAAAACCACCAACGCCAAAGTCTTATTTCCTTTTGCATACATATAAAACTTAAAACCACATTTGTAATAAAATAGACATTAAGGTGTGTTTTTTTTTCGTTGCGACCAATCTGTACGAATCTACCAGCGTGCTTCCCCAAGAAGTCACACAATCTAAATGAGAACTAATTCAGTCCCTGTTGTAATGATTAAAGGAGTTCACTGAATGGCTGTTTCTTTTTTTTTTTCCACTAGAGAAATAATTTAATGTAGATATCTTGTGTTTTAATTGTTTTAGTTGGAAAAGTTAGACTCTATTAAAATATGTATTTACTCATGTGCTGAAAATTTATATGTACAATGTAATCCAAAAAGTTTTAATTTCTTTGGATCAATAGATCAATAAAAGAATTTATTTTATCTTATCTTTAAAAAGCTCGATTTTGCAAAAGAAAAAAAAAAGAGATACAAAATTAATTATTTAATAAAATGAACCGGTAAAATGAGAAAGTGAACTTTGACTACAAAAAGTGAATAAATTTGGGAGGAGTGCCAAGGAAGTGGCCAAACGAAGAATGAATGAATATTTTAACGCATTGAAAAAATTAAGGATTTACTATTGATATTGATATCCGTTTATTGCTGATAGCATTAATATCACGATGAACGTAGTTATAATTAAATGTCAACTATAAAGCATGCTATTTTGTTATATATATATATATATATATTTCAATCCAGTAAATATAGAATCTAACATAAGGTTACAATTATGTTAGCTTTCCTCGTTAGAAATCAAGGACTAATTTTAGGGTTGTAGGTTTAGGGTTAGGTTTAGCGCCAGGGTTAGGCTTAGAGTTTACGCATTCAAAACGTAACTAAATCCTCTGGGACGACGAACCCACTGTTGGGCTAGTAAAAGAAATGTAGGAAATTTTTTTCAACTGTATCATCCCTTAACCGACCTATATCTTCACCTGATGCTGTAATAAAAAAAATGAAACAAATTCCTTCTAAACTCACCCTTTCCATTATTTAAAGATTTAATATTGCTTTGATTGAAAAGTTCGCGTGTTTTTTTTTTTTGTTTTTTGTGTTTTGTTAGTTTGTTCATTTAGTATTTGGTTAGGGATGAGGATGGCAAGATCAATGTACACGATTTAAAATAGCATGTGCCTACTATTTCCTAGCCTACCAATCGATTATAAACAACGCAGGTTTTATCAAAAGTGTATTACAAGTATACAGTGGGTTCCCAGGGGTAGTATGACGGAAATTTTGGTCCAAATTGGCTGAACAGAATCTTTCTGTAAACCTAAAATAAGAAATATGCATATAGTAGAGAAAACATTGAAGGAGCACAATACAGACATGTCTTCCTTCAGTCTTTGCCAGACGATGGAATAGCTATTCTATTTACAAATTCATCAAAAGGCTTATAATATATTCAGGGAATTATGTTCCTGGAATTCTTTTTATGCAAAAAAAAAAAAAAAAAAAAAAAAAAAATCATTTTGATTTCAAATTTTAAGGTTATTTATAATTGCCTTTAACCCTTTCTAAAATAATGCAACGTACGAGAGATTATTAAAATTAGGAAACAATATTTATTTCGTTGAATTCAGATTGGTTTAAATGGCTTTTCAGTATATGAACGTAGTGTCATAAAAATGGCATAATTAAGATACGAGTCTATCATCATATTAATTTAAGTAAATACCTATTTTCTCTTTACAATTTATACTGTACAATGTATTAAGATTTTTAAAACGATAGACAAATGTATGACCAAATAATGTTAAAGAGAGCAATATAATTAAACTTATGTAAAACAAGATAATAATAGCCTAGATTGCAAAATGCAAATCTGCGGTTGGATACACAGTTGTAAAATTTAAAAAAACCAACATGGAAAATACATGATTTGTGGAAATGGTTAATACATAATTCATTAGGTTGAAATGTTTCATTATTTATTGCGTAAATCAGAATCAATACAGTCATTGGTTACCTGCTTCCTCAATCGTCCTACTTTGTGGACAGAAATGCGTAAAAGAAACGGCACGATTCAATGTATCATCATTTCAATCATTACTGATGCCCCGTTTTTGTTTTTAGTTTAAGAAAAGTCACCCTACGTTTAAAGACGACATTACAAACCTGATAGCATTTAGCAGTTCATTGGAAAAAAATGCTGTTGAGGGTGATACCGGATAAATGGCAGTTTTCTGGTCTGGTTTTTGAAATGTGATAAATAGCGTATTCTTTTGGATAAGAACGAGATAAGACACCGGGTCATGTTGAAATTTGCCACATACTGATTAGAAAAGTGTCATCCCATTTACTCACAATGTGCACGTTTACTGTATCATGGCCTCGAAATGTGCTCGTTTACTGTATCATGGCCTCGAAATGTGCACGTTTACTGTATCATAGCCTCGAAATGTGCACGTTTACTGTATCATGGCCTCGCAATGTGCACGTTTACTGTATCATGGCCTCGCAATGTGCACGTTTACTGTATCATGGCCTCGAAATGTGCACGTTTACTGTATCATGGCCTCGCAATGTGCACGTTTACTGTATCATGGCCTCGAAATGTGCACGTTTACTGTATCATGGCCTCAAAATGTGCACGTTTACTGTATCATGGCCTCGAAGTGTGCACGTTTACTGTATCATGGCCTCGAAATGTGCACGTTTACTGTATCATGGCCTCGAAATGTGCACGTTTACTGTATCATGGCCTCGAAATGTGCATGTTTACTGTATCATGGCCTCGAAATGTGCACGTTTACTGTATCATGGCCTCAAAATGTGCACGTTTACTGTATCATGGCCTCGAAATGTGCACGTTTACTGTATCATGGCCTCGAAATGTGCACGTTTACTGTACCATGACCTCGAAATGTGCACGTTTACTGTATCATGGCTGGTCTGATTTGTTTTTGAATCTCCAGTTATCAGGTTGAATGAAGATCTTGCTTTATCAAAACTGTTGTTTTTTTAACAACGTGTGAGCGTTCCATTGTTTTTACTTGGCTACGTAAACCGTCTGTACACGGACTGGTTCTGGTCTGCAGATATTATAATATATCGATTTTTTTACAATACAAAACAAGTCATTCATTGATAATTTAAAGCAGGTGGCACCATTTTATAAAGGAGAAGAACTATATTGTTCTGTACAATTTTCAGAAATTTTCGTATAATTAACTATTTTGTTTATTTCAGTTTCTTTGCAATCACGAAACTAAATGAGTCATTTTTGTTTTCATTTTAATTTAGATTGAAAAAAAAAAACAACAAGGGAGGAAAAAAAATCATCAACAACACATTTATCACGATGCTAGTGGACTCATGGTGATAATATAAGACCACTAATAATAATTATAATCATTTTTGATAATGTTCATCTTTTCAGAAAAGCTAAAAGTTTGAAAACCACGTGATTGTATCATTCCCGATCCCGCGCAATAAAAGTACCGTCGCTATATTATATCATTGTTGACACCCTCTCCAGCTTAAACACATTTCAATGGCAAGTGCTCACGCCATTCAGATTTGTACTACTATGGGATTTAAATAAATAACAAAAATGTGTGTCGTGGTTAAACTATTAGCTAAGCGATTATAATATGTCACGATAAGACGCGTTGTAATTGTATACGTAGCAGACGAAAACAAAATCGACTCGGCAAAAGATCACATGCGTGTATATGTATAATATAATATACAATAATAATCCACCCGCAACGTATGCCACAAACCAAAGCTTTTACACTGAACGTGGTGCATACACTTTAGTTTTGTATGTTTTATGTCAAATATTGATTACACTTTTAGTATGTTATGTGGATGATGTCAGTTGCTGTCCATTGTAATAAAATGTCTGAAAATGTCTACACATGAAATGTACATCAAACAAAAAACAAATTATTCTGTTTTATTATTTTTAAAAAAAAAGTTGTGTACGTGGTTAATGAAAAAGTGTAATGAATCATTTAAAAAAAAAATATATTTAAGGCATGTTTCTTTCATTGAAGTATGCATGGCACAAATGAAATAAATTGGAACAAACTTATTTTCTTGAGTTTTTAATAATGCGAAATTTAAAATGAATATAAAATATACGCCCTTTTTCAATCTTCTGTGTTTCTATGTGAACAGACACAAATTGTTTCATTGTTATTTATACATATACAAAAAACGATACTGCATGCTAAGTGTTTTTTTAAATATATGATTAACAAAAATACATTTTTTTAAAGTTCAAAACAAAACTGTGAATGATCTTGGAATCTATAAGATAAAGTTTCAACAATAAAGAGTTTAAATAAATCTTTAGTAACTTAAAAACTTTGATAAAATTAAGATAATTTGTTTAAGTATTAGTTATTTTTTAAAAACAATTTTTATAAGCATGACTATCGCATTTCACAAGGCACAGGGCATTAATTAACTAACTTAGGAAGGTATCAACAGTGGCCAGTACACTTTTATTACACGTGCTACAGATATAAGTCGGGCCGGCACACTCCCTGCACATGGTGAAATGACCGCACGGGAGAAAGGTGATACCCCTTGGCTTGTCGCGACACTTAACGCAGAGCTTGCAGTCCTCCAGCAACTTGTTCTCATTCGTAACAGCTAATAATGCCTCCATGATGCTCGAGTTAGCTTTCCGCTCTCTTGACTCGATGTTATTACTTTCTCCAACCAGGGTGTGTTTCTGGCCAAATAATGTCTCTGTTTGGGAATCCGTTCTGCGATTTTCATTTTCTTCGAGCATTTCTGGGCCGTAAGCTAAAGCATTTGCAAAATTATAAGATCCCAATGACGCTTCTATTGAGCGTGGACTAGTGCTATTTTCACGTAACACATTAGATCTTTCTGTGCTGCTCGAAAGTCCGTCAACAGCATCATTGCTTAGAAATTCAAAATCTGACCGGATATAAGAACCGATTTCATTAGTTGACGCAACTACTGCAGATATGTTTCTGAAATTGTGACCTCCTGGTGATAGTCCTGAAGTGGTCAATGCTTCCCGATCCTGTAAACTGAGGTCGTTAAGCTTTTCTTTTAGTCTATCTATGAACTTCAAAGGTAAACATTGCCGTAGATTTTCACATTTGCTTAGCAGGGGCTCGCATTTAATTATCTCTCCGTTGGTTTCCATGTCATTGGCACAAAAGATAACAAAATTAAGTGGGAGCGATTCGAATTGACTCACGGAAGAAATAGCTGACATGTACTTGGCGTAGATCTCTCGTGTTGCAGTTAAAGGGAGTTCTGCCATAATTTTAATTAATGCATCCTCATTTCCAGGAGCGTGGATATTCTCAATGAGAGCAGAAGATAAAGACGTATGTGAACTTCTGAGTGGTAATTTTATTTTTGCCCTTGCCCCATTCTTGACTGCCGTAGGCCTACTGTATCCGAACGTTGAATGTTGGTTGTTAATAGCAAGAGAATTTTCAAGGAAGTCCATCTCCAAACCATTCTCGACCAATGCGCTGGCCATGGCGTAAAAGTATCATCCAATGCTAACGGTTGTCTCGGCCAGCGTGCAGTAAATAAAAATTTCGTTGGGTAAATCGTATAATTTACTCGAATCGTGGTAGACCGAAACAACTGACGAAATACGATGATGTCAAACAGAGATGCGCTGAACATGCTGACCTGAAAACTTGCGAGTATCATACAGCAACAGGCCGTATGAGATTTTAGACACCTGACCTTGAATGTATTGTAGCTGTAACGAATATATATTATAAAATTCCTATAAAAATAAATGACAAAAAATATCATATATTTTAATTTGCAATATCAGTTATTGAAAGAATCAGGACCTAGCCTGGGTCTAAAAATCTGATATAGAGCTAGTTGTGGGGGAAAAAAAATCTGAATTATACCTTGTTTTTATGACTCGAACAAATTATAATTTTAAGTATCTGTTTTTTTAATTTTTTTTTTAAGAATTGGGACTATACCTACTTTTGAATATGGCACATATCGTATACTATACAAAATTAATGTAAATTAAATATTATGAATTGTCAGAGCTGATAGTCAATGCATTAAAAATAGTGTCATGTAGGCTTTCAAATATTTGTTTATGTTAGTGGTAAAATAAATATTTTCTTAGTTTTAAAGGAGGAATTAATGTGGTTTTTTTTAAAAATAACACACAATTTTGTATATTTTTTGTAACATTTATTCAGTGCAATTTATCTAAAAGTAAACATTATTATCCTAACATAATTAATGAAATGAAATAACTGCCATCGACCAAATACCCCAAAACTAGCAATACTGCAAAGTTCGCATCGTGAAAGCGTAATTCTATTTGTCAACGGTGCGCAAGTCCAGCTGCCATGGGACAATAGATTTGAAAAAAATTCTTATCTCTTTGGCAGGTAAATGTCGTTGAGATCCTGTTTCAAAGAGGTGCTTATGAACACCAAAGAGGCATACGCAGCACGTTCTGGAGATCACTGGCGTAATGCCCACTATCAAAAAAAAAGCTAACTGGTTGATCAGATTTCCTCAAAGGTTGATTGACACAAAAAAAAACTTAAGACCATTAAAATGTCGTACTAATAGACAGTGTGACTTAATGACGTCTTATTAAGTACGCCCCTGACACTGTTCTCCCACATTTATTTAAATGCGACCCCCCTTTCACAATCCGTTAATTACTTACTTATGAGCTATAATGATCGTCAACTATGATTTCTTTTCTCAGTTGAGGACCCATTTTACAACAACTATTGCAACGCATATAATTAGTTTCCACTTCTAGGAACACGGAACGGCTGGAGCTGAGCACCGTTGACCAGCGCACTAAACACTGCAAGATTCGGGTTTTCAATACTGTGATTTTTGGTGCATGCTGTATTTAAAAGCGGCATCACCTCGATGCTCTGCATTGTCGTTCTTGATTTAAAGGCAATGCAATCTGACAACAGGAAAACTCTTTTAACTTTATTTTTTAAAAAATGTGTTTCAGTAAAGCAATAATTATCAGTTAAATCTTCCCGAAAATGAATTCAAAGATGGTAAATAAAAAATAAAATAAAATTCCACTGCTAAATTAAATATTTATTTAAAAAGAAATTACAATTTTTTTTTATACATTATGTAAATTTTATGTCCCTAAATTGGTGATTTTACCTTTTATTAAACTAAAATATTATAAGAAATATTAGGTAAAGTTTAATCCATAATATAAAATGTGTAAAGGATTTATAAACGTACATTTCTACTAAAAAGATCAACTTGATTCATTTTATTTAATTTAAAGGTGTCGTATCAAATCGGATGTAATGAAATCGGTATGGTCTGTTTACTACTGTGATCTTTTTATGCGACATACAATTTATGTAAGAATCTAGATCATTCGCTGGTAATTCATTACTTTCTAAACTTTAAACATATACAAATTTATGGAGTATTATATAAAAAAAGAAAGAAAAGCATTGATTAGTTCCTTGTGGAGCTCAGTAGTTAATCCTGACAACCTTGCATGTTCCTGAATAATTTGTTTTTGTTGCCAATGGTAGGGTGTCTAGTATCATTTGTGCTTAGTAAATCTGAGTTTTTTTTTTGTGTGTGGCATGATCAGGTCATTTTTTAACACATAAAACAACTCGTCAATGTGGCGAGGTAAGATTCAGCTCTATGTCAGATTTCCAGAATGGTGATGCATCAAAAAAATATAATCTTATCTTTTAAATTTAGAAAATTCGAAATAAGTACGCTCTTCTATTTGTAGTTCAAAAATAGTAAAAATTTGAATAATGATCAATTTGAATTGAACAACAAGATGAATGTAAACACGTTTGATATCAATATGTAATTTATTATGATAAAGTTTATTTATAAAAATGGAAATAATTTTTTTTTTAAATTTTTTACTTTTAAAGTAATTTATAAAGTAATTGATGTAAAGAGATATTGCAAAATGGTGATTTCTTAGTTAGTACTTACCAATTTTACGTTAAGAAATTGTCTGACCCACTTATCCGTCTAAAAAGTAAAAAAATGAATGCTTAACACGTCTGCATAAATCTTGGATTTCCCGATATTGTTTAAGAGCTATAGGAATTTTTAAAATCGGGTTTTTGTAAAAAGAAAATGAAATATATTTATTTTCAACCTTAGACATGCCCAAACTTAAATGTAAAAACTAAACAATTCTTCCTTGTACCTCGGAAAGACTTATTGCGGTGTTTTTTTGTTTTTTTTATCGGTACATAAAACAAAGAGGTTTATTTTTTTGTATTTTGTTCTAAATCACTCTCCGCTAACAACCAAATCTAAAGCAAACGTGAACAATTTTGGCCCCCATTACATTTTTGACTTAAGATATTGATCGTTAGTTAATCTTAAAGTTTAATGAGGATTGACATTTTAAAGTGTGATTTTTTTTCAACTTTATGGGAAACCTCCAAGACATATGAGCTGTTCATAGCTAACTATTCTCCACATGACCTGCCTCAAGTATGGAATTTCATTTAAAGTAGATGCCAGTCCTTTGTTAAGTTTTTGATGTGACTAGTTCGTCGAATTGGTTTAACCTGTTTTTTGGACGTGTGACTATATTGTGTGGTGACGTTGTCTTTATTGTTATGGAAGGTGTTTGCGTGTGTGTGTTTGTGTTTGTGTACATTTCATTGAATTAATTAGATTGGAATCAGGTTTTTGAGTAGGAGCGGTGATTAGAATCGAAGGAACGTTTGTTCAGGTAATAACTATTCAATTAGCTGCATTAAAGTTTTTATAGTACATGAAATAATGTGATTAACTCAATTAAAATATTTTCTTCATGGAAATTTGCGTTTATGAAAACCTCTATTCGACATCGTTTTCTGATGCACATGGGCAACTGAACAAATGTCAATACACGTGGCAAGAATGAACTTCAACTCAAGGTCATGTCACACATGCCAGTGGTTTGAGTTGTTTTATTTTAAAAAAAAGAACAAAACTGAACATGGACGTGGCGACTTTTGAATATATCTGTTACTTGTCCAAATAGTATGCTGGTTCGTCGTAAATATGAGGGATCCGATCCTGAATTATCAGAAACTATTTTGACTTAGTTGTGGTTAGTACTTCTACTTCCTGTTAACAATGTTTTTTTTTATTTCTTCGTAGGAAGTGGACTCATTTTAATTTGATGAAAAGAAAAAGGAACAAAATACTTTAATTAAACACTTTAAAAAAAAATGTACTAAAATGTATAAAATAAATTTCCCCCAAAACACCAGAGCTCTTCCAGTCATTTGTCTACAAAAGTATGGGGCTATAATGTTCTATGCTAAATGCAAAAAAAAGTGCATGCAGCATTATCGTTAATTCCATTCCATTTGTGAAGATCACGGTAGATGGAAGCATAAAATGCCAAAGTATACATGTATCCAACACTTTATTTTTTAAGTAGTAGAAAATCATTGAATTTCATAGGCCCTTAAAGCTTTTTCGTCATGTAACTGTAACAATGTGTGTACTTTTTGGTCTGAAATGTGTAATCGTGATCAGGTGGTGAGTTGAAACATGTGGCTAAAAATCCTGTGCTGCACATTAAATTTAAAAAAAAAATATTAAAGTTCTGTGATTAACTACCTTTAGTTAAAAATGTGCATTGAGTTGTTGATTATTATCGTGAACGATAAAACATTTCTTTCGGAAATTATGTAGTTGAAACCCAATATCCTTATCACTTTCCGTTCTCTAGATATCAACAGAAGGTCACATAATGGTCAGTAGAAGTCATGGGTGACCTACTGATCATGAAGTGGAGTGCTGTGATAAGGGAAGGTATGTGTACAAAGTGTCAGCTCAGATGGACATAAGGAATTGGGTATACATTAAAACGCGAGATACAGGTCTCTCATGGGTATGTGAAAGACATTGTTGACCTACTAATCATTATAAAAAAAATCATTGTGTGAGGGTAAGTGTACCAAGTCTTTTATACATTGTGCATAGGTCAACATCGTAATGCAAAATGGAGGTCAGGAGATGGAAATTGGAGGTCACTGGTTACCTTCTGATCATGAGAGTTTTTATTTTCATCGGGGCTCGTTTGATCCAAATCTGTCATCAGAAAATAGGTTAATTTTGAGATGCATAATAGAATGGAGTAAAAAGTAATTGGATGCCAGTGATGACCTTCTACTCATAAAAGTTTTATTTTTATTTTCATTGGAGTGGTTTGATGCAAATTTGACATAAAAAAATAGTTCAAAATTGGATGCAAAGGTAGAGGTAAATAAAGAGTATTTTGAGGTCAGTGGTGTCCTACTAATCACTAAATGTTTTTTATTTTTATCTTGAATAGGTAAGTGTATACAGTTTCAGCTCCATTGGAATTTAGGAAATGATTCAAAATAGAGTTGCATTATTCCAAAACAAACTAAGGAAATTGAAAAGCAAGCTAATAAAAGGCTAATAAAAGGAAAATGCCTTTAATTGTGTGTAAGTGTCATTCCAAAGACTTATGTTGAGTCAAGGTTTCTTAGCAGTATTATTACTGCACAAAATTTCAACTTTCGTCCATCAGGAGGATTACGTTAATGGGTCAATCTGTTCAAAAACTTCCTTAGATAACTTGCTTCCTCCTCGGCATTTGCACACTCTTGTTGAAAAGATTTTATGCTAATGTAACTTTTCAATTCAGATTGAATTCGTGTAAGAACGATTTAATTACGTTCGTGCAGCTCGTGGTGCGAACCTAAGAAGCCCATCATCTATCTTTGAGGAGACTATTTTAGGAAAAATAATCACATCTGAAGACTCTTTTGATACAATTACCAATGTTAGAGAAAAATAGTTTATAGACAACAAAAGGCTACTGAAAATACAGATAAGAGGCGAGAAGACAAAGAAATATAAAAAAACGAACATAGAATTTTAAAGGAAGAAGGCAATGTTTATGTTTGAATACCAAATAGAAGAGGGTAGAAGATCTGTCAAGAAGCTATACAAAGTATACTATGTGATAGATATGAATGGAGAACTGAAAGTTTTGCACATAGACCTTTTGAGAACATATGACAGCTGTCTAGAAAACATGATAGATGTAGCAGATAGGATATCTAAAATTCCTGAAAGTTTAGAGAGTCAAATTATCGCCAGTGTAATGCACAAACAACTAAAAAACAGTGTAGAGACAACACATTTGAAATTATTATTACTGTTTTTAGTGGTCTTATATAGTGCGGCACCCAAACTTAGGGCTGGGCTCACCACGCTGTACATAAAACTGTTATCAAAAGAGACATAATGGTGACATTAAAATAAAATACATTTATGAAATAAAGCACAGCCGATAACAAAAAACAGAAACAAAATATATATTCACCCACCCACCAATGTTCTCTCTATGGTTTGTTGGTTCGTGTGCAAAATCATAAAGTTGTTTGCACATTTTTACAGCATCAATTTTTTTGTGTGCAAAATTTTACAGCCTACAGACAAAAAGACACACTTAAGTGGAAATTAGCTGCGCGGTACTCAAAACTGCTGCACGGCATCTGTGAGATTACTGCGCGGCCGCGCAGCCGCGCAGCTTAAAGAGAACATTGAAACCCACACCAGAACTTTTACAAGGCAAACCATGGACGGCAGCCAGCAGCATCGTTTATCGGTCAGGGGGCTGGGGGAAATCAGCCGGGTTAGTATAGTTTAAAGCAGGCCTGCAAAACTCAAAATGTAAGGTGGGCCTTAATACTATGAAAAAACTTGTGTGGGACAAAAGAAAATAGGAATGGGCTTATGCGGGCAAACAGAAAATAGGACAGGGGAAAAGCTATTAAGAAAATAATAAGAATAAAGAATATTTCGTTACCTCGCAGGCCACAAAGTGGGTGCTGGCGGGCTGCATGCGGCCCGCATGCGGCCCGCGGGCCGTATGTTGTGCAGGCCTGGTTTAAAGAGATGTGTTTTGAGTGCAGTTTTGAAATACCAGATAAAAAAAAAACTTACTTGATTGAGGTCTCAATTCAAAGAAGTCATTACTTTTGATCTAGGTCACACGTCAACCCTAGAACATAATATAGAACTAAACACTACTGAAACCTAAGCGGATAATGAGGTCACAAGAGTGTGAAGAATCATTCATTCTCATGAACGAGATATTTCAAAGTGACAAAATACTGATATCGCCTGATATTAACAAAACATTTATTCTCATAACTGATCAATCTAATAGAGGTATAGGACGATACATAATGCTAGAAGTGAATAATATAAATGAACGGACTGCTTTCAAGCTTAGTAAATGAATGAACTAGCAAAACGAGGTATGTGGAAGCTTGAAATGAGATTACAGGACACTTCTATAGCAGGGAATAATACACTGAAACCAATACTATATTTGAGCAGATCGTTAAAAAATTTAGAAATAAATTATTCAACCGTTGAGAAAGAATCTTTGGCAATTGTCTCGTGATTAATTAAAATTCACAAATATATTTTAGGGAGAAAATTCTTATTACTGACAGGCCATGAAACGTTGATAGCTTAAAAGAAAAAGAAATTAGCCAACAGCAAAATCAATATATGGTCACTAATTTTACCTGACTATCAATATAAAATCAAATCAATGAAAAGAAAGGATAGCATTATAGCAGATTTTTTATCCACACAAATTCAATTCAGTGAAGACGAGGACACAAAATTATATCGAATAAGCCAGAGAATGTTAACTATTTTATTCAAGTTTGTTTTGCTTATAACATTATAGTAATCAATAAAGTAGTGACATAATTTCAAAAGTAAGGAATATTTTTCAAGTAACAATGCAATTGTTTGAATTAAATAATACACAAGCTATTTTTAAATTAAAAAAAAAAAAAACTATGTTTTTGATTTAAGAGTGACACAACAATTTTGAATTAAGTGAAACCATGTATATAGATTTTAAAAAAAAACACAACATATAAGTTGATTTCTTTTCAAGATTGATTTTTAAGATGTTGACAAAAGAATAATTGATATGCGTAAAGCTGAAAGTATATGCATGATTTTGATAACATGCTGTTATTGATAATATGAG